TGTCTCCTCAACGTGCGTGCAAATGGTGTTACAGGCGCAATGTGTGTGTGTGTGTGTGTATGCGTATGTGTATGTGTGTGTGTGTGTGTGGTGTGTGTGTGTGTGTGTGTGTGTGTGTGTGCGGGGTGTGGTGTGTTTGTGTGTGTGTGTGTGTGTGTGTGCTTGTGTTGGTGTGTGTGTCCGTCGCCAGCATGTATATCACTCAGACCATAATTGAGTCGTGACTGTCGGGTATCTTGTCATAATTACGTTAACGGCGCCATTGGGAGGGAGCGTGTGTCCGCGGCGGTGTTTTTTGCCGGTGTCGGGGGGAAAAGGAAGAAAGAAAGAAGGAAAATAGAGGAAAAAGGAAAATAAGGGTCAAAAAAGGAAGGAAAATTAAAAGACAAAAGAAGGAAAATTTAAAAAAGCAAAGGAAAGAAAGAAAGAAGGAAGGAACAAGAAAAAAGGTAGCAAAACAAAAAAGAAAAAAAGAAAAAGCGGAGGAGACAAAAAGGAAGAAAAAAGAAAAGCAAAGAAGAAACACAAAAAAAGAAGAAAAAGTAGGAAAAAAAAAGAAAGAAAAAGAAAGAAAAAAAAGGAAAAAAGTAGAAACCAAAAAAGAAAAAGAAAAGAAAGAAGAAAAAAATGAAACAATAAAAAAAAAAAACGAAAAAATGCATTGTGGGCTGAGGTTTACGGAGGAGGAGGAGGAGGAGAGGAGGCGAGGGGGAGGGGGGGGGGAGGAGGGGGCAGGGAGGTGTGCATAGTTTAAGTGATGAGAAATAATATTGTAATCTCCTTTGGTAGTTTCGTAGTTACTCTGCTGCCATTCTCGTGGTGTGTGCGTGTGGGCTGTGTGTGTGTGTGCGTGTGCTGTGTGTGTGTGTGTGTGTGTGTGTGTGTGTGTGTGTGTGTGTGTGTGTGTGTGTGTGCTGGGGGTTGTGTTTTTGTGTGTGTGGTGTGTGTGTGTGTCGTGTGTGTGTGTGTGTGTGTGTCGTGTGTGTGTGTGTGTGTGTGTGTGTGTGTGTGTGTGTGTGTACTGTGCGCATGTGTGTGCGTATGTGTCTGCGTGTGCGTGTGCGTGGCGTGTGACAATATTACGCGACGAGAAGGAAAGTTTTCTGGTATTTGAAGTTTTTCAAATAATATGAACGATAGAAATTATAATGGATACTATTGTTATAATAACAGTTATATGTTCATATAATGTTAATTATTGTGAAACAATAATGATCATGATAATGATAATTTATAATGATAGAGTTGATGGATACATAAAGTATAGTAATGATAATAATAAACGATAGAAATAATAATAGTATCCAAACTCAATCGTAACAAAAAATAGCATGATTATTAAAAATTGACCTTGGTTAATAATGACGTTACAATAACATTAATCAAGATAAATGATTATGATAATTCCATAATATCGATTACAATCATTGCTGAGAATAATGTTAATATATCATCAATACAATAACGATGACGATCCAACAATAATGATAATTAACAAAAATAAACTAGCAGCACAACAGAGAGCGCATCCTCGCCATTGCAACAGGAC